GTTACTTGTTGATCTGTTGGTAATGATACACAGTTAAATACACGTGTTACTTGTTGATCTGTTGGTAATGATACACAGTTAAATACACGAGTTACTTGTTGATCTGTTGGTAATGATACACAGTTAACTACAGGTGTTTCTTCTTGATAATGATACACAGTTAAACACACGTGTTACTTGTTGGTAATGATAAACAGTTAAATACACGTGTTACTTGTTGGTAATGATACACAGTTAAATACACGAGTTACTTGTTGATCTGTTGGTAATGATACATAGTTAAATACACGTGTTACTTGTTGGAAGTAACACGTGTATTTAACTGTGTATCATTAGTTGATCTGTTGGTAATGATACACAGTTAAATACACGTGTTACTTGTTGATCTGTTGGTAATGATCTATAATTTATTCCTCAAGATATTAATTTTCTTGGTGGTTACAGGAAGGAAGATCTTAATGTGTAAATTCTAGACAACCATGAATTATAGATATATTATATTGAAGATCAATTAGTTTTGTAATATATCTTAACAATATCTTGTAACGATGTCCTGTACATGAAAAACAAGTATTTTCCTCAATGGTATCATTAAGGAAAATAGGGTTTTATTTTATCTAAACCTGAAATTTGTCCTGAAAAGGTTAGAGGAGCTAAGTGGGCGCTAGATGAAAACCAACAAACTATAGGCGCTTATTTGTTTTGTTTTCAGTCTCATTAAATTTCGAAAGCTCTCTACACATATATACTCTGTTTAGTAAATCAAGCTAGTGGGTTTCGAGAAGCCCAAAAATAACTTTTACGAACTGTTACTTTGTCAATTGTCACGTAGTCACTAGCCTAGTTTGTGCGAAGCTGAGAATAAAATTAACTTAAGAATTACTTAAGTACGTGTTTATACGTGGGACAATGAAGAACGTACGCGCGCGATTTCGTAGCAAAAACCATGATCTGTTGACACACTCTTTCATTGGCACTTTTATGTACTCATTTATGGGGGAGGGGGTTATTTATTTAAAATATTCCATAGGTTAGTTTACATCTTATACTTAGATGACTTGTATAAAAACTAAAGTTGTCTTAAAGTCTTCTGATCTATATATGATAATTTTTGTGGTCGGAATTAATCAAGGTGCATATTGTTCTTATCAATTTTAGTTAGTGATCTCACCACTGACTTTTCTCGTGACTCGTCATTACTGAAAAATACTCCATAGAGAAGAATCAGTTATCACGGACCTTATAATAGTACGGCTGCTCTTAAATAACGATTGATATCTACTTTTTATGCTCATTATTTTAAGACAAATCTAGAGAAACAGAATTATATGACAGATAAGCACGTTGTATTAACGTAACTCCTCCTTCCTAAGCTAGGTGGCGATAAACAAAACCAAAACCTATTTCTCATTACTTTATTAGAAAGAAGAACGAAGGTAAAGTTATAGTTTGTTTTAATCTAGGTGTCTGTATAATACTGTACACAGGTGGCAGTATAGTACTGTACATTAGTAATCTGTGTAATACTGTACATCAAGAGTCTGTGTAATGCTGTACACCAGGTGGCATTGTAATACTCTACATTAGTAATCTGTGTAATACTGTGCACCAGGTTGCAGTATAATACTGTACATCAGGAATATGTGTAATAATGTATACCAGGTGTCTGTATAACACTGTATACCAGGTAGCAGTGTAATACTGTACATCAGGTGGCAGTGTAATACTGTACATCAGGAATCTGTGTAATACTGTACACCAGGTGTCTGTATAATACTGTACACAGGTGGCAGTATAGTACTGTACATCAGGAATATGTGTAATAATGTATACCAGGTGTCTGTATAACACTGTATACCAGGTAGCAGTGTAATACTGTGCACCAGGTTGCAGTATAATACTGTACATCAGGAATATGTGTAATAATGTATACCAGGTGTCTGTATAATACTGTATACCAGGTGGCAGTATCATACTTTACATTAGTAATCTATGTAATACTGTACACCAGGTGGCAGTATAGTACTGTACATCAGTAATCTGTATAATACTGTACACCAGGTGGCAGTATCATACTTTACATTAGTAATATATGTAATACTGTACACCAGGTGGCAGTGTAATACTGTACATCAAGAGTCTGTGCAATACTGTACACCAGGTGGCAGTATAATACTGTACATCAGGAATATGTGTAATACTGTACACCAGGTGTCTGTATAATACTGTACACCAGGTGTCTGTATAACACTGTATACCAGGTAGCAGTGTAATATAGTACCCCAGGTATTTGTGTAATACTAATTTTGAAGTATCTATTTAACACTGTACACATGTGACCATCAGTTTGAATATGATCTTGACCAATTATGCTTTAACACGCAATCTTCAGTTTAATATGATCTTGACCAGCTAGGTTTTAACAGGTGATCTTCAGTTTAATATGGTCTTGACCAGCTAGGTTTTAACAGGTGATCTTCAGTTTAATATGGTCTTGACCAGCTAGGTTTTAACAGGTGATCTTCAGTTTAATATGGTCTTGACCAGCTAGGTTTTAACAGGTGATCTTCAGTTTAATATGGTCTTGACCAGCTAGGTTTTAACAGGTGATTTTCAGTTTAATATGGTCTTGACCAGCTAGGTTTTAACAGGTGATCTTCAGTTTAATATGGTCTTGACCAGCTAGGTTTTAACAGGTGATTTTCAGTTTAATATGGTCTTGACCAGCTAGGTTTTAACAGGTAATCTTCAGTTTATTATCATCTTGACCAGTTATGCTTCAACACATGATATTTATTTTAATGTGATCTTGACCACCTAATTTCCAGATCATTGTAATCTAAAACTAATTTGATAACGTTTGGAACTTAAGATTGACCTTTAGATTATTGTACAAAAATGACCTTCACCTTTAGATTTTAGTGGGAAGAATCACAAATAGGTCACTTTGAGTGGGGATTATTCCGTAAAGCTGGAAACATGGTTTTTTTTTGTTTATTATCCACAGATGATCAGTGATGGGTATGAAGAAGAAGAGGAACACCAAGATTCGTCTCAGGGGCGACGTAAGACGTAAGTGGTCACAATGTCGTTAGAAAGATTATTTGAGAAAATTGTTTTATAATCGAAAAGATAAAAGTTAGACTTTGTTTCTAATTTAAGTTTAGATTCTTCTGGAGAAAACTAGGCTATGTTTAAGGAAAAACTACCATATAAACAATACATCTCTAACCACTGTAATGATGGAATTCCTGGTGGCTACTGATGAACATGTGTCGTTTTAGTCATACAATAAACAACACATCTCTAACCACTGTAATGGTGGAATTCCTGGTGGCTACTGATTAACATGTGTCGTTTTAGTCATACAATAAACAACACATCTCTAACCACTGTGATGGTGGAATTCCTGGTGGCTACTGATGAACATGTGTCGTTTTAGTCATACAATAAACAACACATCTCTAACCACTGTAATGGTGGAATTCCTAGTGGCTACTGATGAACATGTGTTGTTCTAGTCATACAATAAACAACACATCTCTAACCACTGTAATGGTGGAATTCCTAGTGGCTACTGATGAACATGTGTTGTTCTAGTCATACAGTAATAACATAATTATTACAGGTTCGTCAGTCATGTGGCGTACACGCACTTGAATTCTCTGTTAACATTGCAACATCTTATGCAGCGTTCATTACATGTACGATATTGAAATTTTATTTTGTTATCTGTTTACTTCATCTTCCTATAGATCGGATGATAACAGCTTGACAAGAAACAGGAGAAGAAGCTCTATTGTGGTTATCCCTCCTATGCAGATCTGTCCAGGAGACTTGCTCGTCTACAGCAGAGTGTTGAATCATAGAAACGACTTTCTGGGTGAGAATTATCGATCGATCAGACATAAGCTATTACACGTGTTAACAGACAAAAAGTTTGGGAACTAAATAGCAGCCAGAAGCAAAGTGTTTAAAAACAACTCACTCAAACGTCGATAAGAAATAGAAAGAGCCGAATTTCATTTTAAAGCAAAATGTTTTAGTCCCAAATATTAGTGCCCTCTTGCGAGAGAATATCTAAACAAACGCTGGTTGCAGTATTAATATTTAAAGATTAAAAGTATTTTTTTCGATGATATCGTCTGGTTGGAGTTTAATAAATAAGGTAATTTACTGAACGTATATGTTAACAAATTATTTAACTTTTTACCAGAAGTGAAATTGAAAAGAGAATCTGTGACGTACAGGCCTAATGCATTCTTTGACTGACCGTACCCTCTGCTGTGGACTGCAGTTTGCCTATTCAAGGCTCATCAGCATAGTTTGGGTCAGTCAACCAAAGGAATACAGTTAGGCCTTTTATAATGGTGAAGTGTATATAAATAACCATGGAGTTTTGAGTCTGTTTTACTTTATCACAGAGTAAACCAACCTCACAACTTCTGATATTCAGTACGACAGTTTGTTTGTATATTCAAGAACAAAGCGACGTGCTCACTGCAGGGAGAGAACCACAAGTTTTAGTGTTATAATCCCCCAAGCTAACCCCGGGAGACAGTTGTCTAGAAAGAGACATAACATTTTTACATAAAGTTGACTTTAGTTTCAACTAGATTTTAATATAACACACGATCCTGTATTCGGGGGAGGTTCTGAACTGTTAAACCTTTATAGAAGTACAGGTATATCAAGTGGAATTCATGTCGTAAGGATTTTTACTGTTTACTGATAACTAGCATGTTTTTCCATATAACGTCACAACTTTATAGTGTTAATACTAACACAGTTTTATAGTGTTCATACTAACACAGTTTGATAGTGTTCATACTAACACAGTTTG